CGCAGACTGAGTGATTCATTCGCTCATTTTATGAACTGCTCGCAATGGACAAAAACACTGTCCCCCATGGATAAATTTTGAACTTCATGTCTGGCTATAACAGAAGAGAAATTGTTGAAGTTTCTCACTAGCCTTAACGCCCAGGATGTGAAGAAGGAATAAAAAGTAGTTTGCGACAAATATTCCGCCAAAATCTGGTGATCGCGAATGTGCTTCGAAGAGCATGGTGGTAAAACGGTCAAACATGTGAAGAACCTCATTTCTAATATGAATTGTGGAAATAAAATGTACCACGGTGTCTGTTTTAAGGCACCAGTTTGTACAAAACATTGTTATCTATCTAAACATTTTTAACTTGACATTCTCACACCATTTTACAGTATGACTAGTAGTTTAATTTCTGCCCCATTGTGATGTAATTCGCTGATTGGTTAACTTTTACTCTTACTGTGCGAATTCCTCCAATTGCGGACCAGGTCATATTTTATGTGTATACTTATTCACGTCTTTTGGATTGATTGATTATTATACTGTCGGAGTAATAAACTCTCCCATCTGCCAGCTTTGGTCTTCTCTCTATTCTCCTCGAGGTTGCAGTCAGTTGCTCTTGCCTACTAAGTTGGCTGTCAGCTAAACGTGCGTATCCTATTAGTCGGAATATGTGTATAATCGTTGGCGTACGAAGATATAACAGTGTCCCAATATCAATGGAAGAAACGGGTGGCAACCAGCCAGGTGACGACGACAAACACAAAGCATTATCCATAAATTTTGGGTGAACACGACTTCACCAGTGAACTCATCAACATATAACAGAATAGATTCCGTGAACATCTATTACAATGAAATTTTTAAGATAATAAGCGCTCCGAATGGGGGAGATGCGCATGACTACACATGAAAATACTAGAACAGTGTGGGAGGTAAAGTAAGCAAAGAAAATCTCTCTTGAAAGGTCCAGAACCAGCCTATGTTAGCATATATTGCATTTTATACATATTTTGACGCTGAGATGGAGCTTTCATCATCTTGTCACCCGTTGTATTTCCTAAGGAACTAGGTGAGCGTCAAGGGAAGTAACTGCGGATTATCGTTTGCGTATCGACGCACATATATGAGTGTATAGACATATATATGGCCAAGTTACATCAACTGCCAACCAGTATGAGAAATGACAACTGTTTCCAGTAAATGTGATGAATCCCGCGTGAAGCGCTACAAAGAAGGGATTGAAGTGACACGCTAAGGTTTATTCAGAAAGCCAGTCAAGTCCTGTACGCTATTTTGCGGGCCTCAACATCCCTAAATACACAGATTTCGAAACGGACTTCACCGGTTACTGAAATCACGAGTAAAGTGAAGATGAAATGAAGTTCTTAAAATGTGAGAATGAGGATCATTTCATAGTAATTGATGATACTGAAGCTAGTCTTTTCATTATCCACAAGAAGAGAACTGATGATGTGAAGATCAGTCATATAATAGAGACGAACTCCACAAAATGCAGACGAGGCATTTGCAGTGTGTCTTTCTACTTTAACCGAGACCTGTCCCTTCTATGCCTAAGCCTCTCACCAAACTTTCAGGGAAGGTTCATAGAGACACCAATGCGAATGCAAGCCTCAGCAAATGCTCAGATATCAGGCTCATGTCGTAGGTTCTGAAGTCACAAACGGACAGAAATGGCTTTGCTCGCAGAGCTTCACGAAAGCGATTATTTAAAAATGCTCCCAATCCGAAACCTGTATGCAGAAGAGTGCAGCCAGCTTATCACTTCCAAGGTAAGTATGAACTGGGCCGATTTCCTGTAAATTGAACATTCTTTATTTTGCTTACCTAAATATGGTGAGTATTGGTTTTTCCTTTCCTTCATTTCCAGTTCTTCCATACAATCCTCAGGTATGTCACGCAGATTGGCGGTGATTCTGCCGGACAGCTTGACACCACTGAATTCCAAACCTTCATTTATATCACGCGCTAAAAAGCGTTGTACAAGTAAATAACAAACAATGCGTAAATATTGTATCATCAGATTAAGAATTCAAAACGAAAGGAGCTGGCTTACAAGCATCATCAAGTTGATAATGGCGAAGAAATCTTCATTATTTGAGCTGTCCTGAATAATATAGAAGTGAGGGCATCAACGTTCATCATGATGTCAAAAGTGTCCACAGGTCATGAAAAGAACGGGGAAATATCAATTTACAGTAAATGTAGAATTGTTCATGAGTTTCGATCGTTTCCGCTCGCCAGAATAGCACAATATTCGACGTTTGCGTTACATGTGACCGAAATGCTCAACCTGACGGCATAGTCCCCTGTTTCGTCAGACAAACATTTATCTTAACATCGGTTCAAATGTTTATAGAATCATTGGCCAACAAAGGCTCACCTTATCGATTTCCAGTAGCAGTGAGTGTTAACACAACCATCTAATCCACCTGAATATCAAAGTCCACGCACTGCCCACACCTGACGTTAACTTACAACGCAATGCAGATGTAAGCCATCAGAATTAGTCGTTGTGGTACAAAGAAATAAGCATTTGAAGGACTATTATCCAATAGTAGTGGAGTTTTGCACATAGAATTCACACTGAAGCATGCAACATTATACAGGAGGTATGTTGGCTGTTAATTGTCTTCTGTCAGACAGATTCAAATGAGGTTAATTACTGGAGGAGTGTGTTGCGTGGGTTTGTCCGCAAGCATGTCTCATTTTAAGTTACTAGGTGAGTTCATTTCTTAGGTTTGAATGTTTGTTCAGATTTTCGCTGTTATTATGAGCGCTCAGAAACCTTGGGCCAGTTGTTGTGGTTGAAATTTTGTATACGGTAGCATCCGGGATGTCTGTCTGGGTGAGTTTACTGTGGAACCCTTCAGAAAACTGGTGACTAATGGGGGAAAGCCAGTTACCGAATTCCTTTAATAATTTCCGGTACCACGTACAAAGTAGTTTGTTCAGCAAGTTGGCATTTTAGGTCAAAATTATGCTCAATATTTTCCCTCCAAGCTTCAGCTGAAAAGAGGAGAAGAAAGGAAAGCACGAGCGGAAGCCGCCAGGTGGTATGCCACTCAAGCAATACGCACACTTTAATTTGTGTACACAAAAATAACCCTTACGACTTACTTACTCGAAGTTCGTCCAATGTTTTAGATATATCCGGTTCATTTCTTGTGGGGATACACAACCGTTTCACTGCTGTGACAAGTGCCTTTTCGGATGGTTCGTTAGTAGCCCGTCTACCTTTTTCGGGTTTCCAGAATGACACCTTCTTCTGGTATTATAATGTCGGCCATTAAATTTCTTTACTCGGTGGCGCTGGCTGCACCATTAGAATGAAGGCCTACGACAAAAAACGGCAAAATGGATTCGGCCTTGTCACCCATGATTAAAGCTTATTAGGATAACCCCTCCTGATAGACGTAATGAAATAAATAATATTTCAAAAACCCGTAGTGCACTTTCATGCTGGGGGAGAAGCGGTGAAGTTTTCATCACCAGATGCCCTCGAATATGGGTTTGGTCAACGGAACTATTTGAAAATTTAGCGTCACACACGTCTTCAGAATCAATAGCCTAGGGTTTGCCGGGATTCAGCATTGGCGCTGACCCTCATAGTTTTGCCCGACTAGTTAAGCTGAAGGCACCCGGTTAAGCGTCCTCGCCATTTAGCACGCTACCGTGTTACGTTACACTGCTCTTAAGCGATCTGCTAGCCAACTAGTTGGAACACATTGGTATCTTGGCACGACCTCGCATATCTACTATTCCATACGGCTACGCCATTGTTTTCTTTCTCGGTCGCGTATTCGTGGGAATACAAGAAGTTCGGGTTGTTAGTGATTAGCCTCTGCGTCTGTCAAGTTCGCACAAGGACATTTCCCAAGAAATCACCCCCCATGCTGCTCGTAGTGAATCCTTATAGACATCAGCCGTCAGCCTCAAGTTCTTTTACGTCCGGGTAACTTTAGTGGGGAGAGGAAAATCGTTTCCATTCCGGACATCTTTTTGCAGTAATAAGGAAATGGAAGTTCAGAAACTGTTGGTTTTACTACTTCGACAACGGAGATCTGCCACTTCTCCTAAACTTATAATTCATTGACTGGGAGAATAAAGCTACTCAGTGAATTCATAGTCTGTCTTCGCTTGTCCAAATTGAGTATTTTCCACCTGTGTAGCGAATGCGTTTCTAGGTTTTTTGTCTAGCCTTTGGGCGCATTGTTGACGAAGAAACGAAGTCGGAGTACAAACCATGCGTAAGTTCTGCAATGGTATTCTAACGAGCCGAAAAGAAAATCTAGAGGGAAAAAACGAATGGAGAATTGTGAAACGTTTCATCAAGTATCAGGAATGAAGCTGCGTTGCATCATAAAAGATAATCGACAAACTTAAATGATCTTCAACAAGAAGAAAGCTCCCTAATCACTCTACAACTTACAAGTTACTAACCCGCAAAACATCCAGCTCACCGAAGCTAAAGGCACGAAAGCAGGGGGATTTCCTCATTCACTGCAGAAATGAACCCAACAACAACTGGAACCAAGCCCTTAGAACTAGACACGAGAGATCAAAAACTATCAGTTTTCTACGCTCACACTGTCAGTATTGGATATTGGACATGAAAATGAATGAGTAAGATTTCGAAGGTGCTGCACTTTTATAATGCACTTAAGTGCCTACTTTCAATCAATCCTAGTGGTTTTATTACATTTTCAATGACAAGGTTGTTTAAAATCGTTGAGGGAAATTCGGTAGATATAACTTCGCCGGCTGATGGTAGTTTTAAGTACCCAAGCAAATGTTATGAAGTTTATGGGGGCATCCGTAAGCAGTGTTGGTTTTTATCTTGGAAAACTATTTTCGACTGATCGTTCAGTTTCCAAGACAGCTATATATGTTAACGAAACACAAGGAAGATTTACCTATTATAAACAATTTAGTAATAATTTCCTAATTCCTTCAAGTTATTAAGAATTATTTTGAAACCATTGGAAGATATGATTTTATCGACTAAAATGGATGCGAATTCTGAAAGTCATGGAGGCTCGATGTCCTTGAAAATGAATGACAAGAAATCAAGTATTTTAAGGCAGCAATCGCAGACAGATGATTTAAAAAAGTTAACTGCTTCTTTGCCGTCTGCAACTTTCGGCATAGACTCCTCAAATGAAAATAAAAGTTTTGACCCACGTATGGTCAGAAAATTTCAGTCTGGAAGAAAAGGATTTGGTATGTCAAAATCCTCACGTACCCTTTCAGAACCTACTTTACCGACGGCCAAGTCACTTAACTGTATGACAACATCCAGCATAGTTTCTCCTACATTCGCCAGATACATGCCTTACTTTTTATCGTCTCTTGAGAGTTCATCAGATTCATCAACAACAGTATCTACTATCTCATTGTCGAATTCCAGCGATGCCTCCAGTAGTACGAGATTACCCTTATCTGCAAGTCAACTTTCGTTACCAGAACCACCTGATGGAGGTTGGGGATGGGTTGTAGTGGTGGCCGCCTTCTTCGTACACATGATTACCGATGGAGTAATAGTATCATTTGGCGTTTTGATTGAATCTCTTATTGAGGAGTTTGGAGAGTCTCTAAGTGCAACCTCATGGATTGGATCATTTTCTTATGGGTTCCAGCACTTGCTGCTCCCCTGTCCTCTTTGTCGATTAACCGCTTTGGGTGTCGAATAACTTGCATGCTTGGTGGAGTGATCAGTGGTCTCGGATGTTTTGCTGGAGTGTTTACGAATTCCATTGTATCATTGGTATTTTCCTTCGGAATATTATCTGGTTTGGGTGCCAGTCTGTGTATTACATCTGCCCTTGTCGTAGTATCTGTGTATTTCGACGATAGAAGAGCTACTGCCACCGTTTGTCTATTGCCGGCACGGGTGTTGGTGCACTTATATTCGCTCCAATGGTCGATATGCTCCTGAATATTTACACATGGCGGGGTGCAATGATGATATTATCCGGATTTTTCCTTAACATGATAGTGTGTGGTGCTCTGATGCGGCCTGTTGAGACTCATATCGAGAGACGTCATCGACAGCGCCTTGCTTGGTTAGAACATCTAGCTCGTGAGTCGGGTTTACCTCCTCCCTTAGAAAGTGCAGATTATATAGATAAAGACGTACTTGGTCGAATTAAATTACTACGTGACCGTATGCTAGCTCCCCGCAGAGTTACAATGAGCTATTTACACTCTACAAATGAAGTCAGTTGGAAAATAAATTCAGATACTGCTCGTGCTAATCCTCGATTTGTCGAAAATTGTATTGAGATCTCAGAAAATGGCAAAAGCTACCCAAAAGACCAATCTCATATCCCTTTAGCCCAGTCAAATTTATTACCTATACCCGAAGAATCACCGCTACTGCAACACAACAGCAACCAAGATGCACATGAGCAAAAGTACAATTCCTTGGCATTTAATATTCGGAAGGCTGAGGTAAGTGAATCAGCTGATAAGAAAATGTGCAGTTCCAATCATCTTAATCCTGGGACTAAATTATCTTCAGAGAACCGAAGTTATAGTCAGGATAAATACCATACGGGATCGGGGAACGTGGTTACTGACAAGTTCGTTGAGCTAAATGACAGATGTGCAACTACCGAGAATCCTGTTGCTGCTAACAGCAGAATAACACATTCCCCTCCAGCAAGCGGGAAGATGTGCGCTCCTTACCCTTCATTTTGTAAAGGCAATCAAGCTCACATAAACCATGATTTTTATGATACAAACTCTCTCAAACTTACACACAATGATCCTCAGAGTCCTACTCGAGAAAACATATTGTCTCATACTCCTTCATGTACTATCTTCAGTGTCAGTCGCTCCAGGCACGAGAGTGCGATGAGTCTACCCGATCTCCACCATATTAGGAGGGTGTACAGGTCAACCGCTTCTAGTGAATGTGAGGTATCACCTTCTCAGTGTTCATTAACTCAAAGCTGTAACTGTTGTCCTGCTAGGTGGAAGTTAAGGTCAAACACTCCAAGTGAGGAGGGAAGTCATCAAAACAAGAAATTCCAGTGTTTCAACTGTTCAGAATTATGTTTGAATAAACGTGACTTTCTGAATCGGTTTTTCGATCTTCGACTTTTTAAAAGGTCTACCTTCGTCATGTTTATGGTTTCGAATTTCCTACTCTACTTCTGGTACAATGTCACGTATTTTTTTATGGGTGTACGTGCGACCAATTACGGCATCAGTGAGACTGCAGCAGCGCTTTTATTTTCTGTCCTTGGAGGGGCTAACATGGTTGGTGAAGTGTTGGCTGGATTTCTGGCTGATCGTGATGGCGTTGATTCCCTCACTCTTTACTTTTTCATGATTCTAGTTTGTGGCATTTCGACATGTCTGATGCCATTTTTAAATACGTTTTTGTCTATGGCAGCTTATGCTAGTAAGTACTTTCATAACCTATTCTGTTATTTTCAACTTGAATCTCGGTTTATTATTGTACTGTTATGAGGAATTAGCGTTGAGAATAAAGAAATATAAGTAATCAATCAATCTATGTGATCATTTCCCTAGAGATTAGATACATAATGGGTGATTAACCATATACTTAATGGGATTTTACGAGTTACTGAACTCATTATTGAGCTGAGTTTTTTAGTAGTTGCAGATTTTCTGGTTGTTCCCCGTTTAATTGTATTCGATGGATCGGATTAGGCAAGGATAAATCAAGTTTGATGTAGCTAGTGAAATGATTTTTGTCTCGTCATTTTGTTTCGCATCTGTTCTTACTAATGGTTTTATAAACTTCAGGATGGAAATTTGACCTGATAGAGTTGAATAAGTTGAGCACTGGGTAAATGGATGATGTATAATCTACTTCATTGGGATTTTAAAAATTTTTTCATACTAATATTAAGATAAACCAAATGCGTATTCGTATTATTGGTCCTTTTTTTCGCCTAACTTTTCGATAGCTTAGACTAATACCTTCTTTTGTCAGATATGTTTGTTCAACCTGAGTTGTTAAAGTAGTAAGAGGTGCTGAGTAACTCTGTGGTTTTAACTAGCTGTGACAGTCGCATTTCATGCAGACAAAATTACTTGGGGTAGGTAAGGGGATTTTTGTAATTCCTTATGTGTGCACATATGAAACGATTGTTCATGGGAATACATAGACAAAAAACTGAACTCATGTCGTTTTAGGTTTTAGATATACGAAACAAATGAAGTCTATTTTCCAATCAAATCGTACATGTTGTAAACTTCTTTCATTTCCTACACAGAATGTTTGGAACTTCTGTATGCAGGTGAGGGATTTCTCGTGTTCGACTGGTGATACTTGCCTAGTATTACTGAAATCGTACATAGCGATGAAAATTGTGGTTTAGTTAGTACTAGTGTTTCACTTACTTGGGATAAGTTCTGTGGGATCACAGGTCATTATTCAGTGAGGTAAAGTATCTATATTCGATAATTAGAAAATGTTTGAATTCTTTAAATAGTGAGAGGTCTTAGAATGATCTCATAATGTTTATCTACCGTTACGTTCAGCTGCTTGGATGACAAGTTGTTATGGTGAGATAGTGACCAGAGTTAAAAGCGTTAGCTATAACAAAATAAAGCATAGTTGCATCCACATTTAGATATGGTAGTTTTGGCGGTTTGTAATTACTAAAATGCTTGGCACTTTTTGTAATTTCCTTTTAGTCATATTGTCAAACTCTCTAGACATAAACTATGAACAATCATAGAACTGCTAGAATTATACTTCACATTTGGTTAACTGCTTATTGTTCACTTAAATTTAGGCGTATTTGGCATGGGGTTGGCAGCAAATGATGCTCTGTGTACTGTTCTACTGGTAGAATTTGTTGGACTGCATCGTCTCACAAATGGACTCGGGATTTGTTTTTTCTGTCAAGGTGTTGCAAATATTTTGGGACCACCAATGATTGGTAAGTGCGGCGATTCGAAATAGGTTTGGATTTGAGTTTCAGTTTGGTAAATTTTATAATGCAAGTTGATCATGATGTAGGATTTTTAGAAGCCATCCTATGACATCATTTTACTGTTTGTGTGTAGTGATTCGATATTAATATGATAGTGCTGCTTAACAACCACGTGGACTATTGTACACCAAGCTAAAGACTGGCGTCTTTTTTGTGATGACTCAAAGCTTCCATCCAGCTGCAGAAAGCTTTTGAGCCAATAAGTCAGCTTCCTGACCAGCAGTCTACTTATGTGGTTGGTAGATAATTCATTCTACACAGCTTAGTTTGCTTAGACCTTTTTCGTATGGTTTTAGCTGACGTTTTTGGTATTCTTTTGTTGATATATTGCTTGATTAAATAGATTTTTCAGTGCCATCAGAAATATTTCCATCCTCAACATCATACTTTGTCTTTTCACGGACATGTTTAATCTTACTGTGATCATCTTGTTATGAATACAAACGTAATTCTGAAAATAGTAAAGTAAAAAAAACGAGAGAAAGGGCGTAGATGGATGAACATGTAGCTGGTTTTAAAAGGTACATCCGAAAAGTTTTCATTGCATGTATTGTTTTTCACAAACGCAAGCCACATAAAACTATAGCATAGCCACCTCTGGTTTTGATGTTGAACCAAAACTGATGTCCTCTCAAACAATTGAGTCGCATTATCTCTGAAACCCCATCCACATAACAAAAGGCACCAATAGATGTTAGATCTACGTAACTGCCCTTAATTCAACAGCACCGCATCGTGCACTAACGAACTCTCTTCTTCATCTTTCTTCTAAGGACACCTTGTGATTATTTCTACTTCTCACACTTTTTGACCACGCGGTTTCGTGGTCCTTGCGCAAGTGCTGTATGGTTTTTCATAGAGGGGATTTACGCATACTATTGTACTCACTGTCTATCAGAATAAACCGAAGAGCATCGAGAGGTTGCAGGCGATTTGCAGAGACCAAATACTTGTTGGTTAGATGTTATTCGAAGCTGCAGGCAGCTTTGCTCGCCGTTTCCATGGAGTCTTGTCGTAACCAGTGATCATCTATACTTTCCAAAGGTTTGCATCTGGCTTGTTTCAGTATTTATTTGCAATGCTTAGTGTAAGCAATTAGCTTATGTTGGCCTGTGTCGCATGACCGTATTAGTGACCAAAACGCAATCTAAACTTAACGTACACTAAAGCGTGGTCAGCTCCCAGACTAATGCTCTAGAAGGCAATAGTCCTGAATACATATACGCTATCGGTAGCTAGTTGGATTGTGACCTCTTTTAGTCTACAGTTGTGTGGCAAAAGAGAACGCCAGGCGAACCACTGGCTTCGGCTATACTAGCTATCAATGCTAGTTAAAATTAAGTTGTGGTCTGCGCTGAGCTTCAGAAGACGGTTCTCATAATCTTACTTATGACTGACTAATACCTAAACGACTCTTCTGTGCATCTGGACGCCAGACCTTCGCATTGAAGTCCCCAACTAGCATTACGATTTCTGTAGAGCGTACTTGTTGGAAGTTACACAAGCTATGGCAAGACTCATTAATGACCGTGTCTGAACTAAAGTCCATCGAAGCATGGGCAGACATGATGAAGAAACAACATTAATTCTACTATTTGCTTCCTAGTTTATCCGAACCTTCTGGCCTAACCACACATAAACGACTGTTAAATTAAAACCTAGTCGACTAGTGTGACTTCAACTTGTACACATAGTGAAACACCGACTCCAAGGGAGGATGCTGATTTACAGTTACTTGATGAGCTCACACTTAATACACCATTACAGTTTACAAGTGAAATTGTCCAAACTTCATTGGAATCTTGTGTGTGGGTCTCTGAAATATAGCATACATTTCTAGAATCCTGTCCACACTTGTTTGTCGTGTCTGCATCTAGATTTGAACGTTGAGGTAATTATTGCATCTAATGCAGAAGCGGTTTAAAAAGCGTAATAAGACGACGATTGTCTGAAATATGTGGTATGTGATGGTATGATCATGCATGAACATGTCGAACTATTTATATAGAAATGTACTTAAATGGTCAGGTCAATAAGAAACATAAGAATAGGAAGGGCAGAGAAAAGCCGAAATCTAAATCACATCCCTCTTGGTATGAAAATTGAAATCAATACTACCAAGATAGGTTCAAAATAAGTACAAGTTGTATCTAAGAAACACGTTTTGTCTCTTCATTTCACCACTATATCACGATGGTTTGCATTTCTAGTGTTCTTGAGTGCGGTATTTACTTTACTTCGTTGAATAAAGTACAAATAATCCAACAGGAGTTTGTAACTGGGTTCAGCGCTGGGAAATAACCATCGTAAACCTCGTGCATTGAGGTAGTTGTGTGACTGATAAGAATTTTAATCGTATATCGGAAGCCAGAGCAGTAAACACTAATCTGAGTCACCTTCAACGCTATTGCGACGTTATTTTGATTGTGCTATGCTTCAGTGCAGATGGTTCTGCTCTACATGTTTGAAATCCGACCTCTCCCATCTGAAGTTGAAAAACTATGGTCGCTAATCACCGTCTCCGTAGGATTGCCTACGTCTAACGGGGTCACAATGTAAGTAGTTGTAAGGTCTATGGACACCTATTTAAGCTCGACGGATGTTATTTATTAAGTATTGACTTCTAGAGACATTAGTTCGGATGAATTTAATGCGTCATAATGACCTCTTTACAACTGACTGCTTGGTAACCCTGAGCAAGTGTGAGAAAGTGCTGAGAGGTGCTAAACCTAAGGCGATTGGTCGAAGAATAGTTGTTTTGGGTCAGTATATGTTGGTGCATTTCGAATTTTTTGGTGGAAATCAACAATATTGTAACTTGATATAACTAGATAACTAGATATGACTGAAAATTGAAACCAGTGGTTATTATATTGTATTCGTTTGTGTCTTCCATTTATGAAATGTTGTACGACGGCGTTCATTTCTTGGTACTCGTCGTACTGTTTGTGTTTAAAATAAAAACCTTAGGTGTGAATCATAACCTAGTCACAGGCACGTAGGCAGTTGCTGAATGATACTATACATTGTTTCTGTCATGGAACATAACTAAATGAAGTTATTCCGTGGTGCGTTCTCCAAGGAAGCGTTGTGACTGACTAACTGACTGAGAGTATCAACGTAGAACCTTGCACTGGAGTGTATACGAGACCTATACACTGGGTGTACAGAATTCATTTCGATTTTCGACACAACTAGGTGAACAAAGGTACATAGAATTATAAAGTCCACTTGAAACGTCTCTTATGTTGTTTACTATGTCGAAGCTAGGTCATATCTGTTCTCTCAGGTGGCATATCCCTGTGAATGTATCACAGTCATAAACAAATAAGTAAAGCAAATCAACAACCATAGGTTCATAAAACAAGCTGTGAATAGCTTATTATGTGAATACTAATAATATTAATTGAATTTCCGAATTTCAGTTAAGTGACATAAATTTGAATCTCTGACATTAGTTAACAGTCATATGTCAGCCAAGACGTCGTGTCTGTTATCCACAGGAGTTGTTGACCTTTTACTTTGACCTTGTCGTAGGGATAAATTCAGATGTCAATAACCACTGGTAACTTCTGATGGCATTTGATCACTTCAGTTTTTGTATCCGAAGTAAATATGTCTTTCAGTAGTCTGTGCCTATGATACCATATTTGTTTTTAGAAAACTTGTTATACTCATCTATTGGTTTTAACTTCAAAGTACATCATGAAATGTATATACCTCTGCTACAGCAAAGTAGTTAAAACATATCTCAGCGACTGTGTGAATGTCGATACACTAGGCATTAAGCCACATCCGTTGTGCAAGGGTTATTGTAGCTACATGGCTGGTCAAAACTCAGTAGGTGTCTCAGGCTTGAACCTGTTACCCACTGGTTAAAAGTTGAGTACCTTGGCCAATGGGCCACAAATTCGGCTATGAGGTAGGATTAAATGTTAAACTGATCCTACTTTATAGCTAACTGTGAAATTGCGGTTACTAATTGCAGCATAGAGTAACTCCATTTCTTGAGTTGCAATCTATAAAAAAAATCCGGTAATGTAAGCGTAATGTAATCATTGATCTACACTTAGTGATAACAGATTTTCAGCAGTATGCTCGGTTTTAGTTGTGAATTTTGCGTTAACCATGAATTTGTAATAATGGAATCACAATTGTTAGGTGGTTTTCTCTGATTATTATCACGTGACTGATATCTAGTCATTTTTATTGCTTCCTAATATCAGTGATCACGACGATTGAGCCACCGTTTATTGTTTAAATCTTTCATGAAATCTAACCTCAACTATCAGGGATCTCAGAAGTGTAGATAATAAACAACGACGACTGGTAACGGTTTGTCAGTTTCACCGTTATCAGCGAAGTTTGACCACATGTGCATTTATGTACGATACTCATACTTCTTGACTTAGTGATTGAGTTACTCATTTTGATAACTTTGTTAAGCCTCTGATATTTGTTCTATCATCAATAAATCCCTGGCACATATCAGTCAAACTATAAGCAGTTATAACCGCAGTGGGAGCAACTAGGATATTGACTGGAATGCATTATTGTAGGCTTATTGAGAAATTAAAGAGACCCAAGAATTTTATTTAGGGTGTGTAATCAGCTTCAAGCAAATGTCTATGAAGATATTATATCACAGAACGGCAGTGACTCACAGTTATTATAAAACGTTAGGAATTTGGCAACCTCATCAGACTCGGTCATTACACAGGAATATGTTCTGGTTGTTTGTGAACAGGACAAGGAAACAATAATAGGTGGAATAGTAACAGACAGTCTGTAAGTTTATTGAGAACATTGGGGAGGAAGTAGCGGATTTCAAAGAGTTGGAAAGCTTTTGTGCGTAGTTGTTCGCCAATCCTTTAAAATCGATTTAGAAGACTCATGTAAAGAAAATGCTAATTAAGATCTATAGTTAAAAGTGGATAGGCAATTCG